TTCTATGGGGACAGGCAATACCAGTACCTCTATAACAACCTGCAGAAGACAGATGGCATAGCCTCATTCTCCACAGTCTCCTTTTGCCTGCTCTGGATGATGCCTCCTGCACTGTCAGCCGGTCTGCTCAAAGTTCAGCCTCTTAAAGCCTTTATTCCGGAGTCAAATAATCTTCCAAGAGGATCTGAAGTTTTGTTTCGTTGAGGGTGGCTGTTTTAGCATAAGTTGGCATGGGGGAGCAGTGGGTTAAGGTATTTCTGATCTCACAATTTTCAAAATAAATCATGAAAAAAAATCAGATTGAAGTAGTTGGAAAATTATTTTAAACAAATATTGTAATTTTGGAAGTTTGTGTTTTTTGAGTAACTTGACTGTTCTTTTTTTCTGTGGTCAGAAGTGAAGTTACTGATTATATTCCATTTCTACAAAATTACACTTGCTTTGTGGTGAGAAAAAAAAAAATAAAGGAAAAAAAAAAGTACCAGAAAAAAAATATGGGAACTGATCGTACATACAGAGGTCCATTAATTTAATGTACTATGGAGGTAAAGCTGCAGACCGTTTCTGGGAGGGACAACTGATTTTTCCTGGATCATAGGAATGTGTATATTTTCAACATTCAGTGGGAGCTGTTTTCAGAGTAAGAAAGCATTGCCTTCTGAAGACTGTGTAAGCAACAGATGTCATAGGCACTTTGTGGTGATTTGAGTCCTTAGCAGATCAAGACAATATTATATTGGTCGAGACATTAATATGGTTGGAATATAATATATCTGAAAATGTAGAAAGTTCATTGATGAATTTCTAATATACTCTTTCACTGCTCCAATATATTTGCTGATGTTTGTCTGAGTTCTGTGTTCACATTTCCCAAGTTATTTTAACCTTTAAAAAAAATTAAAACCAAAAATTGATGTATTTGTTGTTGGTACCTATAGTAGATACATACATGTGGGCAAACACAACTCCTAGTTTTCTTCTCTCTTAATTCAGATCCAGGTTTGGTATCTGTGCTATTTAGAAAATTATTCCTAAATATATTAAGCAGATCAGATTTACTGTTTTGGTTTGTGTGGCAATTCTGAGACAGAATAAAAACAACCTTTAAAAACTTAGAACTCTAAAAACTATTCAGCTGGCAGCTGCTAAGTTAGGCTAATGTTTACACTGACCTCAGTACTTTTACTCTGAGCATTATGCTGCTAGCTGTTCCAAGTAGCCTTGAACTATGAAGATAGGGTTAGTCTTTACAAGTCACATTTTCTGTGAAGTGGCTATTGGGGACAATCTTTGCTGTCAGATAAATGTTTCTAAAGGAAGAATTACTGTTTAAATTGATGTGCCTCCTTGACAGAATGGGATCCCTAGTTCCTGTTAATTTCAGGAGGGAACTCTGTAGCATTATCTAAAAACTCTTTCAGATTTATTTTAAAAGCATTTACTTAAAGGCACCTTCTTTATGAAAAAGCAAATGAAGTCTGTTTTATTATGCCTTCTATGGCCTATTAATTTGTTACCATCTATTCTGCTTTGTTGATGAAATTTTAATTTTGCCCTTGCTTGAGCATATTGTAAGATTTGTATAAACTGTGGCTCACTGTGCTAACAGAAAGGCTCTTTTAGGATGAACAATTGGAGCTCATTTTATTTCTAGAGGACATTTAAAATAACTTATGAATGAGAGTTGTCAGACATGAAATGCTGTATTAATTAAATCTTATTCTAGTCTTTTTGCTTCTCCAGCTAAACTAACGCTTTAGAAAAAAATACATGGCCACCTTAATTATATAGGAGAAGACAAAAAGTATCCTTCACATTCCTTTGCCTGAATAAGTATAAGAACTCAATTCATCTAAATAATAACCCCATTAGCTGCTTAACTCAACAGTGTACATGGGAAAATTTTCAACACAGAATGTAAGAAAGTGTTGATTGGGTGGATCATTTTCAAGGGTTTGTTCTTCTGATGTTCAAAATTATAATTTTAAGTAAATCTGATCTGGCAAGGTTATCAGCTTTGCACATTTCTGACTTATGACAAAAGTGTGTGTTTATATACATGCTAATGCTTCTTTATCTTTTGAAATACAGCAACAGTACCATTCAAAAATAGATGACTTGATTGAAGAAACTGTTAAAGAAATTAGTTCACTTCTTGTTTCAAAGGTAAAACTATTTACGTTTTAATTTATAATAAAGCAGAAAATTGTTGAACTTTGGAGATGTCTTTAAATATCACACAGTTTTTCAATACACAGTGAGATTTTGGGGAACAACAGTAGGATTTTTAAATAACAGTCATGCAAATGATACTGAATTTACAAAATTAAATTTTGTAACGCATTAGATAAACAATTTCTGTGCAACCTGCTATTCAGATAAGTTTGTCTGTTGTATTTCTGTTATAGATAGGAACTCCTAGCAGCTAGTAGAACTGGTAGGAATTAATTATGTTGATATTATCTTAAGTAATACCATGTGTTATTTTTTGTTTAATTTTTTACATGAAAACTTTCTTCCTATCACTTAGTATTTAAATTTTGTATTTGGAGATGGACAACATCCAGAGTTCCAGTTTAACTTTTTAATAAGATTTTATTCCACAAACCATTTAATTTAAAATATTTTATAAATTGTTGTTTCTTTAAATTGATTTTTTTATATTTAATAAGAAAAAATATTTTGAGATGATATAAGGCTTTTGAAGAAAACTTAAACAATGTCTTGTGTATCTGTAGCACCTCTTCTCCAGTAAAAGTCTTAAGTGCTTGATATAAAAGAAAATCCCTAATAGGTTGAAGACACAGAAAAGAAAGATTTTATAAGTTTTGTTATCTATGTATTGCAAACTACCCAGAACTATGATTTTCAAAGTAGGACAAATAAGCCATACATTTACAATTTGAGTTAGTGACAAAAAATAAGACTCTGGTCCTATTTTCATCATGCCTTCGTTTTCACTTGTCACTGCTTGCTGGCAGGGGATGGGAGGAGCAGGAATCTGCTTTCAGACTGACACCCATCAGTTGAAGAGGAAGGCTTTGTAGAATCATTGTAGAAGCTTGAGCGAAATGCGTCCACTTACTGATAAGTGAAATTTTGATGTAAAAGTAACTACAAACAATTCAACTAGAGAGTTTCAAGTTTTACATGCTGCCTGTCATTGCCGCGGACTAACCTTCCAATTTATAGTTTTAGTGTTATTGAAGAGGGAGAAGAAGAAAGGGGAATTTAATCAGAGCCAATCATGCTATTAAAGGTTTAAACCTTTTAATTTTTATCTTTTTTAATATCTGAGATTATAAAAGAAGGAAGAAAATAATCATATTCCTCCTGGATGTGTGTACAAGAAATTCTAAAGACAACTGCTGTCAATACAGAGGGATTTGCATTATTGGTATCACATATAGTATTACCAGAGGTTAAAAATCTCAGAACAGGAAGCATATATTCCATGTCAATGGCTGATCATTAGAAGTTTAACCAGTGTCTCCTCACTGGAGATGTGAAATGCCAATGACATCCTGATTGCTTCTGTTTCAAGGCAGAAAGCTTCTGAAGGTACAGTGGGACGCTGATGTTTTACTCTTGGCTTTGCCCAGAAAAAATACACATCAATGTGCATGTGTTCGTTTTTTGCATCTAATATATTTTCACTATTTTTCAGCCTTTACCTCAGTATTATTTCCTTTGTGTTCCAGTGGAATTAGTGTCTCAATCATTGTTTTTAGCTGCAAGTCATTTATGAAAATGAAAATAGAACTTTCATTTCAATGCTGCTTTACTTGGTAAGGACTATACTGGACATTTTTTTGTACAAGGCTTACCAATCTAAAGCATTAAAAAAATCACTGTTAAAAAACAGTGAAACAAAGCACAGTGTGTCTCGGGGTAACCAATTCAGAGAATATGAGGTATGCACAGAAATGCTTTTAGAGCTTCACAAGTCCATGCACTGAGATCTCGAAAAACAAGCTTGATCCTTGATACTGCAATGTTTTGCTTTCTGTTGTTTTGTGTCCCACTTGTATTGGAACCGTATGTTAGCGCTGAGGACACCATGTGGTTTGTGAGATCAGCTTTTTCCATAGCAGATCTTTGCACAACAAGGTTGAACACTTTTCCGCAGAAAGAACCCAAGAATCCTTGCCAGTCAGATAAAATGAGTTAAAGTATGAACAGCAGCTTCTCACAAGAATGCAACAGCAAAACAGAAAGCTGTTTTGTAATAAAGGGGGTGCAGAAACAACTGCCACTCTCTCTCATGATGTAGATTTATTCTTTGATTGGCACCTATGTACTGGTGTCTTAATTAATCACTGTAAATATGACAGGTTGGATTGATAAATGACAAATGTAGGTTTGCACTTGCTCCTGCTCCTTGAACTGTTAAGAGCAGGGCTTATTGTAAAGTGATGATCTCAGTTCCTCTGGAAGTGACACTGTTGTGACACTGTTACAGTGCCCATTAACAGCATGCCAGATGGAATTTTGTTCTATCCTCACACTCATAAAATGATACTCATGGTTGTGGGAATGACTGTGTTGGGAGCAAGGGACAATTTTTAAAACAATCTTTATATAAACTGAAAAGCAATTTATATGTGTAAAAGAAATGTGCATGAATACAACAGCTAACAGAATTTTATGTTATATACCATGAATTACTTGAGCAACATAACATCACAGAGGGACATGCAAAGGGAATTTGTATGCTGATTTGGGAGAGTTTAACCATTAAAGCTATAATCCATGCAATTAGTTAGATTTTTTTTCTTTTTGGTCAGCAATAAATTTTGGCAAAAACACCTCTTACTGAGGAATCACACTACTCAGAGAATCCCACGTGACAATAGAGGGGAGAGAAACCACACCGTACCAGAGACTTTAAGTATACATTTTCTTGCCGCCTTCTTGGCCGTGGAGTAGCAGCTCGACAGCATATGCTGTTGACAGAAAACTCTAGTGCTATTACACTGCTGCATGAAATCAGAGCTGGGTTTCTATTCACTTGCAAAGGTAAGGGAAACATGATATCAAGATCACCACCTTTAGCAATCATGCTTTATTGTCTTTGAAGCTGTGATCTTAGAAACTATGGTCCTAGAAAATAACATATAATTTCTACCCAAAGTACGTACTGGGTACACACACTGTTGTATTTAACCCCACGTTCTAGAGGCAGCAATGTTGCACTGGAATCAGGCCCACCTCAGTAGAAAATTTGGGTTGAGTTTCTATTTCTGCAGTGGTTCAGCAGCTTGATCAGTAGGTGAAGCTGCATAATGAAGGTTCTCCTTGATTTCAAAGCTTTGTGAAATGGAGAAAGTGATCAAATTTACAGTTTTCATTGCCCTGCTGAAGAATAAAAATATGAGGATGAAAAATTCACATTCTCATTCCAAATACTTAATTTTTATACTGTCCATTTGGATTTCTCTCTGTGCTTTTCCTCCAGGTTGTTTCAGTATTAGAAGGTGTGCTGTCTAAATTGTCAAGATATGATGAAGGCACTTTCTTCTCATCATTAGTTTCATTCACTGTAAGTGTTTGGATTCACAGTGTTTCTGTTCTTCTTTCTGTGCATAATTCTGAAATTGTGTACAATCTGTAGTAATAAGTACTTACTGTGTCTTTTATGCTTAATTTTCTAAAGGTGAAAGCAGCTGCAAAATATGTTGATGTTCCTGTAAGTAGAACATTTTTTTAATTTATTTATTCTAGTGTTCATAATAATTCAAAAAGTAGGGGGGTTTAGCTCACATTTTTTATTGTTGACATTTTGCTTTCCTACAGAGATTCATTATAGCTTTACACAGAGTATTTAAACAGTCACTACAACCCTGAGAGGGCATTTCATTTCCCTCGAGCAACGAGTAACTCTCAAAGCAAAGCTTGGAAAGGTTATTCTCAATGCACTTTTTCAGTTGTGGAAGAGTGAGGATTGTAACTTAGACAGTCTTTTGTAGGCTTCTTCCCATCATTTGGATAAATTGCAGTATAAGCAACAAGTAAAAGCATCATACTTGAATATCCATTATTTCTTGATTTGTTACTTCAGGACTCAACTTTGCTTATTTAACCTCTTCCTTGCTAAATCCCCATTTGATTTACCAGTGCTTATGCAATGGTTGCGTGGTTTAAATAAAAAATAAAAAGGGTAACTGCTGGAGCCCTTTCATACATAGAAGCAAAATTCAGTTATTAAAATATTTTTATAGAGTATGATAGTAGAATATCTTTTCTTTAAATAAACAAAGAAAAAGTTATCAAATATTGTCATTGTCACTGTTGTTATCCTTTGTTCTCTCAGAAGTCTGTGCTCTCATCTTTTTTTAATGCAATTCTAAAAAAATCTTATTTTCCAAGCATAGCAAAAAAAAAAACAAGACTAAAATTTTTACATTAATGATCTTACAAAAAATTAAATTACAATGTAGAAGAGTGCCAGACATGCTAGACTGTGTGATGGCCAGAAAAACTTTTAGCAGTTCTATGCTGAAAAATACAATGCTTGCAAGCTGAAATGAATTTGTTTTTTTAATCCGTGTGTGCTAAATGAAAGGAGAAATATCTGTTTTGGGAATTTGTTATTTTGCTTTCTTTATGTTTGCTTTATTCATAAGATAAATTGTAATAATTCTGTTGTTTTCAGATGATGTTTTCAAATAATTTTTTTCTTATGTGGTTGCATGGGGGTTTTTAGCTTTATAAATGCTCTTGTGTTTTATAAAAAAGACAAAAGTAGGCTCAGTCTAGCATTCAAAGGAATGACCTCATATCAAATCCAGTTAATTTAGTATACCTCTTGTTAGGATATTGTGCTGCAGAGCTGCCCCAAAAGGTCCTTGGTGAGGCACTTAAGACTCAAAAACCTAAGAAAAAATTACTGAACAAACAAGAAATTCATAGACTTCTTTCAGCTAACATGGAAAACTCTCCAAATTACATAGAATATCCATGAGGAGACATCAAAGTCTTTTACCATTGGCCTGCATACATTGACATTGAAGTTCACAGTAAAGATGAGACTGAAAAATACCTTTGCCACAAGCTCAGGGGAATATTGCAAATCAGATCACACAGGGATGCACTCACTACTTCAGAAGGAGAGGTTGGCAGAGCGGGGAGATGGTTGCTGGGGCTCCGTTACCCGTTTCACATTCACTGAATGGTGGCGCTTGACTTGAAGAAATGACCAGATTGTAGACAGGCTGACAGGATCCTTGTATTGTTACAGTGTCTTTGCTTTCCAGCTATCCCACACACCTTTCCCACAGCCCAAGATACAAGCCGGACTATAGTTCCACAGTTGTAAACCAGAAGTGTAAACTGTACTTCTGTGAGGGTGTGGATCTGACCAGACAAACATTTTCCAAATTCTAGAGGACTTTTTACCTGGGTTGAAGGAGTTTCGTAGACTGTGGTTTGATTTTCCTTCCTCACATTCTTCTCCTTGTTGTGAAGATGTAGTTGAGGCCAAGAAGAGCCATCACTGTCGCAACTGACAGCGACTGTCCAGTCTGAATAGCGCCTAAAATCACCAGGTGTCGAAGTAGAAAATTCCAGCTGCAAAAGGAGGCTCTAAGTCATCATGTCACAAGGTCATCACCTGGGCTCGCAGCTGAAGTGAGAAGTAGAGTGAGGGACAGCACAGAGGGAGGAATCTATGCTGAGCTCTTGGCAGTGTGATGGTAACCTAGCAAGTCTGCACTGGAGCTAATTAAATGCCTCATGTGCTTTTATTTTGATCTGATACAGTATTAAATCTCTTCTTGTCCCTCCTTACCATATAGCTGCATATATGGAATTGACTTAAAAGTGACCACAGTAGGCCCTTTCTTTTGATGGAGTTGCAAATATGTGCAGAACTGCACTGTGTTAGACAATGGAATTCTGCCCCTGTGCCCCACCTCTCTCCATTCAAAGATCTTACTTGGTCACCTTCGATCACTTGGTACATCTAGGGGAGAAGGAGGCAGGGGCAGGGGCAGGCCTTTGGGGGTTTTCTGAGAGTGTGAGTTCAACAGAGTTTTTTATCTTCGATTACTAGGATTTGGCAAAGAGGGAAAAGTATGCTGGTTTATAGTGAAATAAGTAGAAACTAACTAGACCAAAGAGATCTTAGAAGAAAATTATAGTACTGAACAGAATGTTTTAGAGAAGGGATAAGAGGTAAAGGAGATTAAAAAGTTAAAAGGTAAATAAAAATAGAAACATTAAAGAATGCAAAAAGAAGGAAGACATTCTTGGATGATACTTGGTCATTTTGAGGAAAAGCCAAATTCTATTGAGAGGAGGTTTAGACATCAAATAGTTGGGCATGAAATTGCACGCTCCCTAGAAGGTATCTCTTAAATGCTCAAGGCCAGGATAGGAAAGATAGACACAGACTTGTGGTTCATTTGGCAGATATGTTTGTGAAAATGTTGCTGTCTACCCTTCCATTCATTAATCTTGCCAGGGAATTATGAATAATTCCATGCAAAAGGAAAAAAGGTGTTTTGGGGTATTTTTTTTAACTGTTTAAGAAAACACACAACATAAGCCTCCCTTTTTCAGAATGCTCTTTATGAAGTGGGACATATGCAGTCCCGAGGAGCTCTCATTGCTTTCCCCAGCCATTCATATGGGGCTATATGGGCACTGCATATGTTTTGGAAATTGAAATATCTACAGAAATACTAGCAACAGTGCAAAATTGCCCAGACTAAGAAAAGTAACAACAATGGTGTCTTGTGATTTCCTAAAAATAATACTGGAAAAATCTAGTTTCTGTTATGCTCTTTTTATTGGTAATTGTCACAGTATGCCAGGCTCTGACATGGAATAAATTGTGTCTGCTGTGCATGTGAAAAAAACCAAGTGTTTGGAGGAAAATAATACAAGTGTTACAAATATAAGTAGTGCATGAAGGATGACATTTGCTCTCTTGTTAATGCTATGTTTTGGGTGTTTGGTAATGCAGAAGCTGATTTGGGAAACTTTTTTTTAAACAACTCATCAAAATCTGCTATGACTCTTTGATAGTTTCTTTGAAAGTCCAAGCAATCCGTAAGATATCAGACAACCTGTCTGATATTTTTCTTTTTTAAAAAATATTCTGTTCACAAAGACAATTAATTAATGAGGACAGGGAAAGAATGCAGTAGAATTAGAGGGGAAAAGTGTATGTTGTTATCTCAAATGATATTATTTCTTAATCATATAGATCATTTCATTGTGTTCAATTTCTCATAATGTAAATAAGTTTTGCACTCAAATAATTATGTCTCTAGCTGGTCATTTTTACACACATTTGCCTCATTTACAATACAACCAGAGCAATTACTCATACAAACTGAGCATCCAGTTACATGCTTTTTGTTTGGAGAGGTATGTTTAAATCCTTTTGTAGGAGCCAGTAATCTATGCCAGTCACTTAGAGGGCACAGAAGGAACCTAATCCTCCCTCACTTCATGTGGGCCACCTGTCATACCAAGTGGCAGAGAGGCCATTTGAAGGACCCAGGGCTGACAGCAGTGCATAGCTCGCACAATGCCAGCCCTCTCGCTCCGCTCTTGCCTTTATGTGGGGATCAAAGGTATGAAAAGGGGCCTCACACATGTGCCAGCATTTGACTTACGGGGTCCTGTAGAGGCCAAAGAAGGAACTCTGCCTCCTACCAGGCACATGGGGACCTTCCAGCTACCTCCATTTCCAAATATCACACTTGTGATACACACATGGCCTCATTTAGCTGGTTTTAAGAAGGAAATGCCATTTTGTGGGAAATGAGCATTTGTCCATGTGTGGCCATACTGTGCCAGGCATTTTTGAGCAGATTTTCTTGAAGAATTCTGTTTAAAAATGAAGAGGACGTAACAGTCATTAACCTCATGCTCAGGTCTTCTTCTGCCCTCCTCCTCCTTCTCCTGTGTATACCAAGACCTGGGAACTGGCCCTTCTGTTTTCAGATCTGTAAAAACAGGGTATTGTAGAATCGGAGGGAAAACCCTGCAGCATCTCTTTTAAGTCAGCAGTATTTTTGAGATACCTCCTAAATGGTGATCAGAAGGATGACTGCTAATCAGTAGGAAAGCTAAAATAGCATAGTAAAATATCACTTTTTTGGTGGGAAAAGCATATTTAAATACCCAATTTTGTCATAGAAACTGTAGCATTTTGAAGACCTTTTGCACTACAGAATCAAAATCCTGGTGCAGACACTTGCGTGCCTATGTTGCCCTGTGAATGCAATGAAACTATATGTATATGAAGAGGTGTTTGCTTTTTTTGTAAATGCTTGCAGAATCACAGTATAAGTTCTACATGACAGTTTTCAAAATACACACATTTCCTCTTTGCCAAGGTTGCTTTTTTTTCTACAAGAAAATGTTTTAGAGAGAGAGAAAATGCATTGTATTCTTTCATTTAAGCAAAATTTTTTTTTTCCATAACCATGTGAGATTAAAATATTACTTCTATAATAGACTGATGCACCTTCTTGCCTGGCTTAAGTATTTTGTTTTGTAAGAAATGAAGGGGGTGATGATCTTGCCATGGGTACAAGTAGTTTTATTCCAAAAATATTTTAATGATATTTTAATTCTGTTATTCCAAAGCCCAACTGATGAGCCTTGCAGTATTTAGAAAAGAAATTTCAGGCAGTGAAATTTTCCAACATGCTCTTCATTTAGTGGTGGACACTGAATAGGGAACTCCTGTGTTCCTCACAATAGCCCCCTCCAGCTCATCACTTCTTTTCATTTCATTGTTACATACACTCTGTAGTTAAAATGACTCCCTCCAGGATGCAGGGGAGGGAAAAGAGGTGGAGAGCAAACACAAAACGGGATGAAGTTTGTTATCGTATAGTTAGTCTCTAACATCTGCTCTCATCCTGGAAACATTAATGCTTTGGCAGGATAGCCACTTGGTAAAACTAGTTGGGGTTTTTTTTGGTAATACAAGTTTGTTTAACACCCTCTGATGCTAAGAAATGTTCTGTGACAAATGCCAAAGTGAGAATAAACATAACTGAAGTATTACAAATGTACATGATTTTTTTTTGAGGTTTATACCAAACTGTTGCATTGCAAAATGCTGTGCAGAAACTGAGGTGTACCTTTCCTGTAGGAAAATGCCTAATATTAGTGGCAGCATTAAGCCTGTAGCAAACCTTTCAGCAGCAAATATTTGAATGCCTGGAAACCAAGGCAATGCAATTGCATTACTTTTCACTAGGTGCTTCAGGCTAGTTTTGAAGTGGGAGCCATGTGTGTCAATGATAAACCAGTTTCTACAACATCTTGGAAACTGAAATAATGTATTTTAACATTTGCCTCCTTGTTAAATAGACATTATATAGTGTTTTCCTGTTAAAAGGGAGAAAGTTAAGCTGTTTCTTCTTTATCTGAATTTGTTGCTATGAAAAAGTGCCTGTCAATCAGGACCTACCTACCAGTGAATAGTAAAAGAGACAACCCGCACCTGTGGGATTAGGTGCAGCAGCAGGAAGTAAGAGCACTTGCAGCATATAATTAACAAGGATTTTTAAATTTTTTTCCTAAACAGCATGTTCATCTTGCCAGGTTAACTAGTGATTAACCCTAAAAAAGAATGTGCTGAAGCCTACACCCTTGTTTAAACTCATTCACTCACCAGTGTATTCAGTTACTTGTGTAACCAGCGACAGAGTAACCCTATTTACAACTCTTAATTTCCTGGTATTTTATTTGATCTCTTTGTGTTTCCAGTTTCTCTATTCATCTCTTTGTCTGGTTCTCTTTCATTTTCAGATAGGCAAAACATCTTGTCTGCTATTCTGAACAAAACAAACTTACAATAACTTTCTATCTATCATAAAAAAACACCTTTTTTCTTGGGGAAATTTTCAGACAAAATATCTTTTTTTATACTTATCTGGATAAATATACCAGGTTAAATTCTTCTGTCAAAGATGTGCAAATAATTCTCATTAACTTCAGCATATATTCTGCCAAAGATTCAGATAAGAATTTTTTTTATATTGAATATAGATGTGGAGACTAGAATACTTCAGTGTTTCCAATATTAGTAATGAAATGCCCCCGTGACAGTTATCTAAAATATATCTCAGTTTCCATTTGTTTGTCTTTTAAGGTACATGGAATTTCTTAATTGTTGTTTGTTTGTTTAACTCTACATTAACTTGGGGTTTTTTTCTGATGTTTAATAATCCAATACAGAGCAGTAGAGGATCATGTAATCAGATTTTTCCAACTAATATAAAATTCCTATTAAAAAACGTTAAAACATTATGTACACAGCAATAAAGCTGTTTTGATGCATATAATAGCTTTCTTTTCTTCTTCCACACATTTGGAGAAAACAAATAAATTGAATGCATGTGATATGCATGCAGTAATGAAGTATTTGATATACTGTTGGTTCATTCAATGTTTAATGTGTGCTTTGCCCACCATGAGCAAAGATGGTTAATCTGCAATGATTTTGGTGAGGTTTTAAAACAGAGTCATACTTTGGAGTATTGATAATCTACCTCACCCAGACTTATTTCTACTGTAGACAGACAGTGTTTAAAAGGAAAATTAATTTTTTTCCACAGCAATTTCAAAGATAATTATCCTGCACACTTTAAA